GGTGTTAATGCTAGGGGAAATTCCCGGGAGAGCCCTCAAAGTATGAGTTTTCATCTGTTAAGAAGAAAGAAGTCTGGCTAAAAGAGGCTTCTTGAGATTTGACTTTCATCAAAACTTATTGGAATTTTCACAATTGAAACTGAACGTATCTAGTTTAAAAGAATATAAAATTAAGCCTAAATTCAGAGTTGCCATAATTTCTTCATCTTCGATTTCCCTGACTTTTCCCTTAATTAATTATGATTTTCCGTAACTCTAAAATTTTCGGATTTCCTGACTTTCCATAAAATTCGAATAAAACTTCCACTATGACTTTTTCCCCTTTAAATTACACTCACATCTGCTAAATGCGCCTCACAAAATTCCCTGACTTTTCCTGGTCGCCGCAAGTTTACTGACTTTCCCTGACCTTCCTGGTTCTCCAAACCGCCGGCAATCCTGAGAACAACTTAAAAAATAGAAACGTACTTCAAGAAGACTTCTTCCATGGTTGTGCAAGACACACCAAGACTAGCGATCCCCAGCTCGTTCTTCAACGATTCGAGTTTGGTGAACATGGAGGGAAATCCGTCCACAGACTCAGTCGGCAAGATGTAGGTCAGCTTGGGCCCTTCATCACTTCTCAGCTCAGCTTCTGGAATGAATTCTTGGATGGCGGATGTGATCAAGTCACGATTCTGGGTGAAGTTCTTTTGCTTCAGTACATTCAAGTAATATCCAGCACCTGAAATGGATATTCCAGTTACAAGTGTAAAATACGCATTGAAGAGACAAATTGAAAATTTCATTTAGTATCATTGTTCCAAATAATTACATTGTTTACTATCACTTGACCTTCGGCCAAACTCAACCAAGAAGTACAAGATTCGCACCTTGGGGAATCACGCATTAATTTTTAGCAGGCTTGCAAAAGTAGGGTGTCTATACAATTTCAGAAAAAACATTTCTGACCTTTTCCTGACAATTTAGTTGTCCTTACTAATCTAAGTTAGTTGAAATACCAGTTAGTAGGTATTGAATGGCCAGTAACAATTCGATGAATGTGTTTTCCATCTGCCAAGAGTAGAGTAAAATAAAAAAAACCTAGATTTTGTGAGAGCTGAATTGTCTACAAATGAAAAAATATTAAGATTGTCTATACATTTCTTAGATTTTGGCACAAAGAAGAAGAATAGTATTATTGTTACATGACTTTCTCAAATTTTGCTGACAAGTACTTCACACGTCCTGTCTTCTAACGACAATCTGTTCACCAACGCCACTCAAATGAATGTTTTTAACTATTACTTCCAAATCTTTAAGGTCAAATTTTTTGCCTTTTTCAACTCGTGGACCTAACATAAAGATACCTGCTTTCTCTGGACCTGCTTGACATCAAGTATGCGAAATTTCAGGGCAGGTTTGCTCAGAAATCCTTTGAATCCGACACAATTTTTTGGAAACCAAAAGATTGGTGGCGATTGTAATGGGACACTCTTCAAGAACACTCAATGAAGCAGAAAGAAGAGTGGATTCTACATTGCCAAAAGACAAAACTATGTGAAGTTACATTAACATCATTCCAATTGCAAAGACATACCATACAATTTTTTTAACATAATTGAGGTTCCAAAGCACATGATTTCTCCATGGTCCATAATAGCAATCCGATCTCCCAAAACGTCGGCTTCTTCCATGAAGTGTGTTGTGAGAATGATTGTCCGTTCTCCACGCATGTTCTATGAAAAATAGGAAACCAGGTAAGCAACACAATGGTGCTTGAAAATTCTTTTGAAGTACATTTAACAGAAATAAACATGCCTGACAAAGCAAAATTATTTATAGAAATATTAAGAATGCTTTATAATAAACACTGAATGTGTTTTCATGAAAATAAGGACCTTGGTTCAAGAAGGTACATTTTATAGGGAGACAATTATTTTCAAAGGAGAAAAAATAAAAAATTTTTTTTCCTTTTAGATAATATTTCCATCTTTGAAGTTAATGAATGATGTTGTCTTACCAAAAGAAGGTTCCACATTTCTCTTCTAGATTCAGGGTCCATTCCAGAGGTCGGCTCATCCAACATCAATATCTATAAAAAGAGGAGGAAAGACGAATGAAAATCCTAGCATGGAATGGTTACAAAACTAGAAACTTATATAGTATCACCTCAATAGACAACCTTAGATTTGACGACTTTTTTGATACAATGATAAATTTTATCGCTCTGAGCAAACTTATTTTTTTGTTGAAATAACAACTTTGAGGCAAATATGGCTTCAATTTCACGAGAATTTTTTTGGCCATTAACAGAAAAAAATGCTACTTCTTGCAGAAACTTGGGACATACTTGTAGATCAACTTGTGTCACAGTGCTGTTTCAAACCAAACGCAGTGTTGTCACACATATAAAACACAATTCTTAGGCATGTAAATACGGCACACCAGGTGATTTTACCTCACAAAAAGGCATTGCCTTGCCACAAAGCTGCTGCCACCAAGCAGATCATTGGAACGGTATGCAGATTCCTCAAGGGAGACAAAACTGTCATGCTCTTGACTTATCCAGCTTTCTCGCTGAGCTTATAAACTGAGATTAAATCTTTGTGACGGAAATCACAGTATTTCAGGACAATTTGAAAAACACCTTAAGCTTGAGGTTAATGCTGACCTTAAAAAACAGCCAGTATGCACATGTCATTTTTTACAATTTGCAGCAAAGCCTCAGCGTTATAAACTGGACCCCAAACTCATTGGACTGAATTTAACTCAGAAAATAGATGCGTATTTCTGAGAAAGACCTATTGTGGACACTTAATTATTGCTTCATGACAACTGATTTCTTTTCTTCCTCAATTGAATCGACGTATGCGAAAACGTCCGATGTCTAGGACAGTGTTTCAGAATTTGAGTGGACAATTTCGTTGTAACTTAACAACACAAGATGGTTTAAAACGTTAGGAATGTAGAACAATATTATAGATAATCCCCTAAGTGTAATTAAACATTTACAAAAGAGATTGATTCTATTCATTGATGTCGTGGGGCAAAAGAAACCCACCGCAATTATGAAACCCTGTATTGGACAACGGACGTTTTCGCATGCATCAATTCAATTGTAAATGAGATTTTAAGGTTGGGAATGTTCTTGTAGAATTCTTTAAGACTTACTTTGGGGCTGCCAATCAAAGCAATTGCCAAGGAAAGCTTCCTTTTCATTCCACCGGAAAGCTGACCAATCATTGCTGATTTTTTGCTACTGATATTCTGCAGTTCCATCAGATTCAACGCTTCTGAATAAGCTTGTTTTTTTGATAACCCTTTCAGCTAAAAAAAAATTAAATAGAAATAAAATGAAATTAGTTAGTGGCATTTAAAATGAAAAGACAACAGATGAGACTTTAATTGAACTACATTTTGCAATTTGGAACAACACTTTCCAGCTAATTTCAGAAACAACATATTTGTCATTAGTTTCCCTATGCAGATAGGTGCGTCTTTGAATGAGCTAAGTCAATTGAAGAACAATTTAAATTAGATAAAAAAAGAATCTGCTATGGACAATGTGTAAAATTAAGGAGAATTAATAGAATAAAAATGTCAGATTTTTAAAGTTTAAAAAAAAAGGGCAATAATCGAAGCCTTATACGTAAAAACAGCGGGAGTTGTGTTTTAAAGTTTTGAGAAACTCATGTTCAAAGTTTTTGAAGCTGTGCTTTTCGATGTCTGTTCAGCAAATAGGGTTCTGTCAAGGAATTTATTATAGAACGTCTTCTCTAGGTATGTATATTCAACAATAAAGGAATCAATTAAATTAGGCTACATCACCAAAGAAAAATTAATTACTAATAATCAAATACAAACCAGAAATATCCTAGCAAAAATTGAAAAAAAACGGGGGGAAAAAGTAGACTGGGATAGCTTAGAAAGCAGAGGTATCAGATATTTTAACAAGCTTCCCAAGCCATTAAAAGAACTTTTCATTAAATCAGAAAATTCAAATCTATTCCTAAATAACATAAAAAATTACTTCATAGAAAACCCTTTTTACGAGTTAAAAGAATATCTCGACGCAAATCTCCCCAATCCCTAAATTGCCTGAATGTAGTCCCCTAAGTCTTAAGTCTTAGTTCTTCATTTACTGTTTTTTATTTGTTTGTTAAAATTTTTGTTACATTTATTTGATGTTAAATTTTGTTCCATTATATTATTTGACGAGTGTTAAGCTCATAAATTTGTATGAATTTCATGAGGCTATTGCATTAATAAATATATTATTATTATTATTATTATTCCTCTAAAAATGAGCCTTGGAAATTTAGAATGTAAGCAAATGTCAACGAGATACAGTGCTTTTAAAAAAAAACCACATACGCTGTTTTGCTAGACATTAAATGAACGACCTAGCTAATGTAAGGGAAGTAGAGCGTTGATATTGATCAAATTATGATTCATGTTGAGTTTTTTTATCGTTTTCGAAAAAAATAAACATTGGGTAACTTCCAAAGAAAAAAAACAATGAGGAACGAACTACATAAGTTATCGGTTATTTAAAATAGGGAAAAAATTAAAAAGGGTGCCAAATACCAAAGACCTGCATACAACAGGTCTTCTTAACTTTTATTACTATTGTAATGTGCTCATAGACTTGATTTTTAAGGAGATTAATGAGCTTCAGGGAATTATTTAGCTCAATATTTATTATTTCAATGAGTTCTTACATCCGCTGTTTTTGGATAAAGTACTGTTTTTGATTTATATCTCATTGAAAAATTATGCCAGAGGTCTGAAACCTGGTACCAACACTCTTGAAGGTTCACAGATTGTAAAAAAGCGTTATCCCTGAAAATGGTGGACGTCCAATATTTGCTATTTTTCATTTTAAACGATCATCATTTTTCAAGATGACAATACATATTGGTTGATTACTAACAAAATAGGCTAAAATATTGTTACTGGGAGTTTCTTGACACAAGAAGGCGGGATCTACAGATCTGACAATCTATTTCATTTTTGATAAAGTATTATGCAGAAACTCAGATGCAACTGTTGTTTGAGCGAAGGAGAATCAGAATGCAATTCGGAGACATAATTTAAGATTGATTTAATGAGAATCACAAATAAGATGAGAAAAAAGATTACCAATCCGAAGAAGATAAGATGTTCCAGCACATTTAGGTAGTTGAAAAGAAGATTGTGCTGAGGACAAAGACCGAGGTTCTCGCGGAACTGTGAAATGTTGTCAAAGATGTTGTAGTCATCAACGATTACTTTGCCCGAGTCTGCTGGAATCATACCTGTTTACGAAAAGAAAAAGGAGTATAAGGTTAATGGAAAACATTTCAAACTCAATGTTGCAAGAAGAGGAAGGATGGACAACAATATTTTTGGATTAGTAGTCAACTTTCATCAAAGTGTCTTCTAAAATTTCATTTGGGATTTTACTGATATTTTTCTAAAATGTTAAATAAAATTTCCTGATTTTTAGCTTGAACAAATAGGCCCTTGTTTGATTTTACAAGGCAACATATTTAATGCATCATTCCAGATGTTTCAGTTTTGTTTATACGAGACTGCATGTAGTTGAAAAATGCTTGACGCACTCCTAATTTCCAAATCCAAGACAGTTTTTTATATATTCCTGATTTTCCCCCACGACATCAAATTTCCTGAAATTTTCCGGTTTTAACTGACAGTAGACACCCTGTTCAAACTGACTGAACAAGTGTAGTTCATCTGATACTATCTGTGGTAAAATTTACAGTTCATAAGTTTAAGAAAGAATTGTAGGACAAATAAGTACATGGGAGATATAGTCTCATGATTCCATTGTAAAATTCTGAGACTGAGTCTTAACGATGTAAACGAATGCAACACACTCATTCTAATAAATGAAAATTCCTTACCTGTCAGCATTGACATAGTAGTAGTTTTTCCGGCTCCATTATGACCAAGTAAGGCAGTAATTTCTCCTTGGTAGAAATTGACCGAAACTTTATTCACAGCAGTTACGTTCTTGAAAGACTTTTTCAGATTCCTAACTTGGATTCCTGGTTTGAGATCTCTTGAGACAGGCTCAAAATTTCTATTTTGCATGGGATCACTCTCATCATCAACGAATTCTTTGGATGCTCCAGTGTTGCTCCAGTATGATTTCTGCAGATAACAAGAGTAGACTTTAAGCAATAAAAGTCACAGAACTGAGAGAGAATCGTGAGCATCCAGTACAAAAAAGGTAAGTAACATTTTTGAAATTTTCTGAATGAGTAAGTCTGACCTTCAGAAATATTACTGAGTTTTATGGCTCATAAAAAATGTGCTGCATGATCCAAAAATCGCATTATAAGTGTTTCTAGGGTTAATTTTAGCAAGAATTATTTCTGATCTTATAAGTGCTCTAAACAGCTTCTTCGACTGGAAAAAGAAGTCTACAGTAAGTTGTAGGATTAAATAGAATATTTCTAATTGGCCTGAAGCTCATTCCATCACATAGAGTTAAAATATCAACTCTAGACAGCGATAAATCGCATATACAGTTGGGATAAATAACATCTCGTAAAAATTGCAACTGGAGGATAAAGAAACGAATGCAGGCAAAATGGTACATTCTTATAGACTACTCTTCATGAAATGTCATAAAATTTGTTGGCATGACATTTTTCTGTTTGACATTGGGCTGGATTTAGATCGGCTTTGATTTTTGTTTTTTCAGTTAAAATTTAATTAAATAATGTAGATATTCTAATTTTTACATATTTTCCAACAATGAAATGAAGAAAATTGTGCAACAGCTCCAATAAACTGAAAAAATAGAATGGAAAATTGCATTCTTTTACACTATTCTTTTAGCAAAGTTCACTTCAAAATATGTTTTGCTCAAATTCACAAATGCAGTAATCTCTCTTCATGCTCAATTGGTAAGGAACCACACGATTTTTTGTCACGGAGAAATTTTCATCATAACAGGCTGCTCTTAATGAACATGGTACGTTTTAGGGACCAAACAGTTCCTTCTTAGTAAAGAGGAAATTTTTGTGATAACAGGTGATGGTATAAAGAGAGAGAGAGAGAGAGAGAGAGAGAGCTTTGCCTCCATTTTAAAATGGAGAAGCACAGAGCCAAAGGGCTAGAGAGCTTCAAAACAATTCATGCTTTGTGAATTTACCTTGGTGAAGAATAAAAGACTTTCTGGTATTCCATACGGTCCTGGCCTGACGGCATCTAGATACCAGGTGATAATGCTAAAGATGGCAATTTGAAGAGTGAAACTTCCAAAAATGACTGCGAGAGACGACGTGTCTCGATCTACTGGCCGCGTGTAGAAATCAGACCAATGAGCACCATCAGCTGTAAACAAAGTTAAACGCTGCTCATGAAAAGAGCTTGTACAGGTAAATTTCTGCTAAAAAAGAGAGACAATTTATTTTGTTGTTTATTTTATTTAGTTATTTTTTTGTCTGATGGAAATTGTTGGCATTAAATTATTTGATATTAAGGGAATCTACAGTAGAGACAGGAATGCTATGCACTTTTCCAAAGCTGGAAACAAGATTATCCCAGAATTTAGGGTGAGACATTCATTCGCCTGAAGACTGAATGTCCAATCATTACTTTAAAATAAATCTTAAAAATAGTAAACCTAGTAGATGAAACTGATAAATTAAAAATTATTGATGAAGCTAGGCTAGAATCTGATCAATACTTTAACTTAGTCACGTCTCCCGACGGCTAAAGGTACAGTCAAAACGCACTGGTAAGAAATTCAATCAGACCGGCGAGTAAAATTTTTTAAAGTATTTTTTAAAGGTATCGAAGAAACTGAGTTAGTATTGAAAAGTGGACTTGTTGTTTTCCACTTTCAACCAATTTTGACAGGTGAAACTTCAGATAAAAATGCTGTGACTGGTGGGGTGTACAAAGTACCCTTCTTTTCTTAACAGTTAGTACTTAAAATAGTCTTCTCTTCTAGCAAAGATAAAGGTCGGCAATTTTAGTAATCAGGGATCATAGGTAATAAACTGACATTTTAAGATGCCACAATTTAAGCAGAAAAAGGGCACTTTTAAAACACAGAAACAGAGCATGAATGATTCCAAATAATAATTACCTCTTAGTTCAAAGTAATGGAAGGATGCCCAGCCTCGATTCAGAGCAATGTTCGGGAAAAGATACGAAGCATACCTCAAGATCTTGAATCGTGAATCATTTGGTATCTCAAACTTGTATCCAGTTGCATACCACAGAATCATAGCGACACAAACTCCAACAGTTGCTGGAACAAAATGATGTATTAATTTCGTCGGATAAAAATGCCTTGAAGAGGAATTTCTGGTCACGATTTCAGAGGTTTAAATTCTTCTTTCATAACTAATACAGAATAGAAGTATTTTTTTTTATTTCTATAATTCTTGGGGTGATATTTTCGTGTACTTCCAAAGTAAACTTGTAGAAATTCTAAATGCATTGGTTAAAATCTTGCAAAATAAATAATCAAATGCACTCATCCGCAAAAATAAAGTAGATATTGATACTTACGTCTTTTGAAGATGGGGCAGAGAGCAAAGGAGAAACAGATGGCGACCAAAACATACAGCAATAAGTAGACAAACAGAAGTGTGGGTGATGATTTCAACAATGGAGGCCCAAAAACGGGGGCTGTCATGAAAAATGTGACTATCGCAAGGGTGATGAGTTGAGTCATGAGAACTGCCATTAACCAACCGACCCAAGTCATCCAACTTTTCAAACCCATCATTTTCATCAGCTCCTGAAATGAAATTATTTTTTTTTTCAAAACTTGGATTTGTACCCGTTGATTCAGATAACTTTGATAAGTCTTCATTGCACAATGTTAGCCATATTCTTCAATGTATGATTAAATTCAAGCAAAATTGTAATTGTGTTAGATGTACTTGCCGAGAAATTTTACTCACTAAATGACATGTCACTTCCTTAACCATAACAATCTTCTGCCCAGTTTCAGCAAGGTTTCCATGATGCCTCTGAGAATGGAGGCAAAAGGTCAAGAAGCTATGCTTTGTTGATAATGGAATCGACAGATTTCAAAATGGATCGACAATGGAGAATTTGCAAGGGTCTGAAATTTGATGAATTTCCTGTTTAAGTGGAATCCTCTGAGTGAACTGAACACGAAGATACCCTTGATTCATAAATTGAGCAATTATTAGAGGAGATATGACAAAATAACCGATTCTGCTAAAATACATGTGTTTAAATGGGAAATGCCGCCAGATGACGTCACAAGGCGGCACATTTTCTCACTCTTAAATCAATTTTTCTCCAATTTCCCATGTCAGAAAAAAATTATGAAAAATATTGCGAACTCAGCTCATTAGGCACTTTCAGATGAAGCAATAAAAAAATTGCGTGCAAATTTTCCATTCAAGCAAAATTGTAATTGTGTTAGATGTACTTGCTGAGAAATTTTACTCACTAAATGACATGTCACTTCCTTAACCATAACAACCTTCTGCCCAGTTTCAGCAAGGTTTTCATGATGCCTCTGAGAATGGAGGCAAAATGTCAAGAAGCTATGCTTTGTTGATAATGGAATCGACAGATTTCAAAATGGATCGACAATTGGCTTGATTGGTCTCAATTAAAACTGCACCAAACAGTGAATTTCTCCGAGGAAAATTCCTCCTTCTATGAATTTTTTCCTCCTATCAGGAAAATAATTAGAATTAAATGGAACTTAACAAACGGTGACATCCCACCACCTATGTTCAAATGACTTCAGATAAGAGGTATTAATTATATTAAGAGGTTATAATTATCTGTGATTGAGAGTTTTCCCATTGGCTACTTCAAAATAAAAATAAAAATTTTGGATCGTACAAGCAAATATTGCAATAATAACTGACCTTTGCACCTGTTTCTTTTTCAGAGATAATGTTCTTCAACAAAAATGGAAATATGAGCGTCATACTAAACAAGGTTGCTGCTGGTAGAAATTTGAAAATGAGATCAAAAACAGACTCGTCACGACTCGATGCAGGCTGAGGAAATTCTTCAATTAGGACCTGAAAAAATGAATAACATATGAAACTAAGATAGTTACAGAACAGACAATAAACTAACAAGCATACGAGTTCCTTCAATTTTAGTGCTCGTCTAAGAATGCTCATCTGCCGAGTGTTCATGTTAATGTTCACCAGCTCATATACAGAAAGTAAAGATAGGAAATGTGTGCAGGGGTGCAGAAAATGTTTATCAGTCAATAGTGGGAAAAAAGTGAGGACACTAGAAAAGGGGGGAAAAATAAGAGGGCAGGAGGCACTCGGAATTTTGTTATTTTAAACTTTAGCATTATTTCTCTATATGAAAGCACCATTTGTGGAGTAGGAAACCATCAAACGTATTATTTTTTTGGAAGGAAACTACTTAGTGCTACAGTTTGTATGGGGAACTGTAATTTGCTCACCTATGTGGAGAAAATAATGAAGTGTGCAGTCTTATAGGGACAGCAATGTGAAAGGCTTCCTCGAAAAATTTGAAGGGAAAGTAGACTTATGTGGACAGCACTGTGAAGACAGCCTTAAAAAATGTTGAGGCAAAGAACTTTCTGCACTCCTGAATATGTTTAACCCTCTATTCGGAAGTGTTTGAAATTAAGCATGTTATATGATGATGTACAACAATTCTTTTTTTTATTTGTTAAAATAAAGATGAAAATCCTCCGAACGAAAAAAAAAAAAATAAATAAAAATAAAAATAAAAAAATAAAAAAAAACAAATAATCAAAGTAAGTACATTTGCGACAAGCAAAAAAAAAAAATCTTCATAAAATCACTGGAAAAAATATCACAAAATTGCAAAATGAGCCACTATTCCACCATTTTCAGTAATTTAAGAAAGTGTCCCAAATTTTTTATCATACGTTTAGGTGTACATACTACAAAAAGACAGAACTATTTTTCATTCTTTGTCTGTTTATATAGATTGTTGCACCCTAAAATGAAGTATTCTTGATTACAGCAAAGATAACATAGCAGAACTGAAGCAAGAAAATTTGGGTAAGGCAGAGAATAAATGAAATGAGACAGGGACTGAAAGAACACACACAGCGACTGGGGATCAATGATTTTAGAGAATCATGCGCATAACAATAAGTTATTTTTCTGACAGTATGTCACATCATACATTACTTTGATACAAATTTAGAAAAACTTCTTACCTTCGGTAAAGTAGAGCCGCTGTTTGAAGACAACTTTAACACCGCATCCTGTAAGGCCCAATCAATTGCCAAAGAGCCTCCCCAGATATAAGCAGCTGCAAATCGAAAATGTCAAAAACAATAAAACGACTAGACAAAACCTAATCAGGGTTACTTTTTTCCCCCAATATCCAATTTGGTCTGGTCATTACTTGACTTACTAAGACAATTTAAGTCGACTCTAGGTTGATGACTCATTAAAAAATACAGTGGTGCCCATTTTATTAAAATTTGTTTCCTGAAAATACACAGTTAGCTAAGCTTTTAACGGATTTTTTCAGATTTTCTTAAGTCTAAATGGCAAAAAAACCTGTTTTGAAGATGCCAAAAACGTGACCAGTCTGCGACATATTATTTTGGTAGGCTCTGATGTATCATGTATGTATCATATCATGATGTAGGGAAAAACAGCGTTGACTGATTGGCTGAACTCAGCTTCTTGTGTGGGCCACGTAAAACAAGAAAAAACAAAAACTTCCAATATAAGCAGATAATGGGACCAAATAGTTCTGAAACTTAACCAAAGTTGTCTTCCTGATTAGTGTGACTAATGTTCAATGTTGCTCCAAACAGCGCGTCTGTAGGAGTGGATTTTGTGCTTTTCATGAAATTTTTTCCCTCTGTAGTGAGAATTTCTCTTTAACAGAAAATAACACCAGATTTAGCCAATATAGAAAACTGCATGGCTATGACGTGATGTATATAAAATTTTAATAACATCTCTGCCTTGAAGTAGCCTAGTTTTTTGGCTAGTAGAAAACAAAAAATCTTTAAAACTAGCGTGTTCCTTACCGCTTCGGCCTTCACGCTCGCTTCCAGGCGTGCTGACTAACACATTTGTATCAACAAGTTCATTGACTGGCCGAATCACAACATCAATGTGCTTTGGGATCTCGTTGGAATCTGCATTGATATTCCGGAAATAAATCCCAAAGGCAGGTATGAATAATGGTGTATCATTCTTGTTTCCATACACTTTGAAAATTCGATCCACAATAGCTGACTCGCTGTCGACGCCATGAGTTTTAATCTCGATCACACCTAGAAAAATTATAAAATATTATTATTTATATTTATTAAATTAAAACTACTACTGATACACACACACACACAATAATGAAAAGCACCTATTTCATTTGCTGTATTTCGTGCGACCACAAGCTGCTGAAAGGAATGCGCCCTTGAACGTCGAATCACCTTAATGCCTTGTTTCCACGGGACGTTTCAGGGGATATTCCCCGAGTTCGAATCTCAGGAATGAAACTTCTGGGCTTTTTTACCGTTTCTCAACAAGACAAAATTTCATTTTCTTCTTTTTAATTTGTTCCTGGGACTCCACAATGACTCTTAGTTGGCACTGCGATTAGTGTTGACTAACTCAATATTTTTCCCAACTTTGCAAGTGAGATTTTTCCCTGGAACAAATCCCATGAAACATTCCTTGAGAAAAAGGCCTAACAGTCCTAAACTATTACATATTTTTCTTCCTTCGAGACTCCTCATTCAAATTAACCTCTTCAGTGTAGCCACAGAATTTAAAAAAATGAATTTCCCTGACATTCTCCTGACAAATTTTGGTAAAATTCCCTGACAATTGAGGATATGCCAGATGGTTAAAAGACATAATTTGAAATATTTTTAGGCACCATTCGTTGTTTGAATGCGTTGAAAGTGTCCGACTCATTCTGGAAAGCAAACAACGGTGTCTTGACAATTTTTCCCGAACCTTTTTGTCATTTTCCCTGCAGGGTGTCTACTAAAACAGGCTGGCCGAAAATCAGTACTTTTTCAGTACATTCCCGAGAAATTCAGTACCTCCTCACGAGAAAAATTCAGTACTTTTACAGATCCCTCATTTGACGAAATTCGAAAAATTTCGAAAATGTGATATTCTCGCTCGAATTGCGACTGAGATGACGTAGACACAAAATTTCATTGGTGACTTGAAGATTAACTGAATACACAATCGCAATCTTGCAGACACTTCTTTAGGAATAAACGCGCAGGGGATTGCATACTTTCCAGGTTTTATTGAAAAACACGCGTGGTATGAAGGCAAAATTCCGGACCTTCTTGCAGAATCTCTATACTTTTTCAGTACTTCCGGACGACCTTTGGAAAATCAGTACTATTTCCGGACTTTCCGGACTTGTAGACACCCTGTCCCTGACATGATCAGGTTTTCCCTGACTGTGACAACTCTGCTTATTTCACTAAACGGGTCTTGCTAGGGTAACCTACTGTGCTTATGGTTGTCCTTGATGACCTCGACCATTTTATCGACGATCCTCTTGGTTGCGCTGTTGTTGGGGGCGAAGGTGAGGTCCAAGAAGGGGAAATGTGTGAGTCCATGGGTCAGGATGTCGCTTTCGGGTTGGACCGGGTAGATGGTCTCGTTGCTCTCGAAGTGGAAGGTCTTGTTGTGCTGGACGGCGACTTTGGTGACGAGGCCGAAGATAAGCGTCGGGATGGCGATCTCGAAGAGGGCCGCCAGCCAGTGGTGCCGCCGGATGCACATGTTCCGGTAGTGGAGCACCCGGATCTGCTTCCACAGCGTCATGATGCTCGAGTGCTTCCGCTCCCTCGCACTCGTCAACTCCGGCTTCTTCGACCGATCCAACAGGATATTCTGCTAACAGAGCGAAAAATTTCATTACAATCATGACGTATCATATTTTATGATTTTATTAATTACAGAAAGAGTTCTTGGACTATATTTTTTTAATCAGCATAATTCGAAAAAAATCGGAAAAGTACCTTACATAATAGTTGGACGGCTCCTAATGTAATTATAAACAAGAAAGAAAAACACCACTAAAAATGTGGCCCGGACTGAATGTAATAAAGTGGCAAATAAGTGCTGGGTCCACACTGTTTTGCACGGACAGCAAGGCCGAAAAGTTCCACGAGTTTTTGAGCTTCAAAGTTTCCGGAACTTTATAGCCATGCTTTCCCCGCAAAACAGTGTAGATTCAGCACTAATTAACCACCTTATTTAATTATAAATTTGATTAAGGCTATGACTGAGAGGAAAGGGCAATATCAAAGAAGGAAAATGTTGAGATGGATCTTCAGCCTTGATGCAATGCATTCTGGGCATGATCAATGTCCGGGGCGATTCAAAGGTCCCGCACCGCCTTAGTTACCACTAATTTTCTCGCCCCCAACCTGGGAGACTCCCTTAAAATTGGGGATGCGGGTCCCAAACATAGTTTTTTTGACCTAAGAGCACTCAGTACTCAAGAGACTCAAGCAGACTCGCAAGATTGCAAGTCTTGGTCTCTATCTGCTAAAAGTTGAGTACGAGATTGATGTCTAGTGCTAGACTTTTGGATCACCCTGTATGATTGAACCATTGATTTAGCCATTTGGTGGATTATGAAGAAACAAAGAAAAGTCAGTCAATAGATCAATCACTGAGGAATAACCATATTGAAATCATCTCCAAAATCTTGATATAATCAGAAAAGGACTTTTTCCAATCAGCCATCGATACATACTTCGAAATCGGTTGAAAATTGAAAAGCGTGCATCTAGAGTTATTTCACAACGTTACATCTTAAGTTTTTATAAGATATAACAAAACGATGAAACTACCAGACCACGTATCTCGGTTTGCGACGTTACCAACTTCCTGTTATACTTTGGAAAAACGACTGAACGGTGATTCTTGAAAACTTACGAGACTTTTCTTCTCTGTACGAAGAAAACCTTATGAAAACTTTAAGGCATGATATTGATTCGCTCTCCTTCAAACAAATAAATTGAAAGCGGAGCTTTTTAAACACAGCAAACGAGATACGTGGTCTGGTAGTTTCACCGTAGAACTGAAATTTTGGTTTCCCTCCCAAAAAAGTAATCGCTCTGAAAATCATAGTTTTCAGGAACTTTTTGCACTCGTACAGTCCGAACTGAAAGATTTGCTGAAGTATCGGAACCGGTAAGGGAAACGTTGACAAGGCATCGATATTTCTTCAGAGCACAAAATCGATTTTATTGCTGCCCGCCAATACAACTGCAGGCTGCGTGCTAAAGAATGCGTTCCGTTTCGCCAAGGCAGGAAACGCCGATTAAAACCCTTTCCATGCTACAGGTGTTGCCACAACCTTTGTAGGATGTGTTTTTTCCTCTATCTCTCTTTTCTTTCTTTTTTTTTTTTGCTTATTATTGTTGATTGATACCAAGTCACGAAGATAACGCCACCAAACCGTATGCATATATCATGTTATACCCTAAGGGTCTGCCTGCGTTCGAAAGTGTGGGGAAGGATTTTTTCGGACGTCATTTTGTCTTTAGCAGCGATGCGCGTAAAAATGAAAGCTCAAAAGAGACAACACAGGGTGTCTGGTTTTTATTCATTTTGGGAGACCCTGATGAAATCCTTATTTTTCCTGATTTTGGACGGCTAAATCCTAATTTCATAATTTTTCCGAATCCTGATTTTTCGCGAGAGGAATGTAACTCCACAAAAATAGCTCGATAAAAAAATACAATCGGACGGCCGAGTTTTCTCAAATCCTGATTTTACGACTGATTGTTCCTCAAATCCTGATTGACCTCCGATCCTGATAGAATCGGGAAAATCCTGATGCTATAGAGACCCTGCAACATTGAACTCGTTTTTCATGGGATAATATTGTTTAAAAAAAAAAATCGAGAAAAGTGTCTGCAATCTGAGTGCAGTCTCTACATTTCAAAAATGCAAAAACTAAGGAGTGAATGCTCATTCTAAAGAAAAATACAATTTTAAACAAGTGGTGAAACTTTCTTTCATATATCATACTATTTCTGAGAAAATCCATGACAAATGCGAGCGGACCCACTTCGGTATATTCGACCCATTTGGGTGACAAATTTTCTTGCATTTCAAGATTCCGCAACTTTTCAGGGATGCTGAACATAAAATTCCCTGAATTCTCAGTGCCTATTCCGGCACATTTTCTCATAAAACTTCGTTTCACGAAAAATTTTAACCGGCAAGTCTTTTAAAATTGAAAAAGTGCAATATTAGGGATGGGGAGAAAAAAGTCTATGTTCTGAAAAACTTTCCACGTTTTGACGCGCTCACCCGACTGCTTATCACATTTCTCTCATCAGCGTTCTAAAAAGTTTTCAAAAGTGCAAGAACCCTTCTTTTCTTCTTTTCTTTAATTTCCGACTCATAACCCCTAAAAATCGTCCCTCATTCCACGTTTTCATGCACCCACCCGCCTGCTTATCACATTATTTCTCTCATGGGTTTTCCAAAAAATGTTCAAAAGTGCGAGAACCCTTTCCTTCATCTTCTTCTCTTTTATTTTTACTTTGGACCCCTGAAAATTGGCCCTCCTTCCACACTACTATACACGCTCACCCGCTGGCTTTCCACATTTTTATCATGGGCTTTCCAGAACATTTTCAAATCGTGCGAACCGTTATTTTGTCTCTGATTTTCGACTTTTGACCCCTAAAAATCGTCCCTCATTCCACACTTTCATGCACCCATCCGCCTGCTTATCACATTTCTCTCATCGGCGTTCCAAACATTTCTCAAAAGTGCAACAGCCCTTTTCTTCTCCTTTCTATGATTCTCGACTTTTGAGCTCTCAAAGTTTTCCCTCTTCCACATTTTCACGCAAATTTTCTGCATTTATTCGATCAACTCCTCTATGCTACGTGTAAGAGCCAGGGGTCGAATTTCGTCGGTCCTTCCACCGTACTTAAATATACTTAAGACGGGGTCTCGACTGCACTTGAGTCCGGCTTAGCGCTTCTGATTGGCCGGTGGTGCGGTTCGGACTCATCGATGGATGTTGCACTCCGTATGAAAGAGCCGACAAAATTCGGCCCCAGGATTTCCAGGCTTTCCCGAAAATGGGCAACGTCGGGTAGCCTTCGGCTTGAGCTCATCAATCATCGATCACCCATTTGACGAACTCGAGCGCGGAGTTGCGTCATGCTCGCAGTAAAAACGTAATTGCTCGCTCCTGGCTCCTGGTGCGCGGTGCGGGAGCGCCGACAATAAGTCGTAAACGCGCGGGTGAATCATCATCCGATCCGTTTGACAACAATCCGCTCGGCCCCCGGGGCCCGGGCCGCCACGACGAATCCGCCGCTAGTCGGCTTTTACCTCCCGACTATCGACCCAATGGTGACTAAACTCTTACATGATCGGAGATGCGAAATTTCATTAATTTTACTAACGGAAAGTTCAGAAACTTTCTTAAAACCAGGGGTTCAGAAAGTTGTTCGTTTTCACCAATGGTGCCCATCCCCCTGAAAACTTTTAATCCATACGAGTTATCCCCTTAATCTTTTTAGTCATTTCTCCCTCACCGAGGGTAGGGGGTCTGGAGGGTATAGAATACTCCCTAGGTGTAGGGTGGCATAATTTTATAAAAAATAAAATCTGGCAATTTCACGTGAAATATTTCGTGAAATTTCAGAAATTTATGAAAGATAGTAAAAAACGCCGGTTCCTTTGCATATTTCGCAAAGTGTAAAAATTGTGACTTTCGTCTATTTTCGTGTGTCCGAGTGCGGGTTGGATACCCTAGCCCCTGAAAAATATGCAATATTTGACAGCCTCGTGAAATTTCATGAAATATTTCACTGAAATTTCCGATCTTTCACTTCTCTCATACGTTTTATGCCACCTTAGACGGGGGACGCCGAGATCGAGAACAATTAATTGCACCCCTGCCTGAGAATTTAATCTCTATTTAATAGACGGCCGACCAAAAATTCATTTCAATAGGTTTGCTTTCAAATTTCCCCTACGAGAAGGAGATAGATATACCCACAATCAATTTGAGGAGAAGGAATGAGGGCTGGGAGAGGGAACGACTCACTAACCTGGCAGTTATCACCGGGAGAAGAGTCGTGGAAAGTGCGAGGGATTTCGGATGCGGGAGAGGAACTTGAGGCAACGAAGGGACGACCCTGGGGACGGTGGTCGCCGACGTTGGCAGATCGGGATATTTCTGGGGTCTCGGAGCCCGGATCGACCGGGGGCCGCCGTGGCGTTTCTGGGGGGATCGCGCCGCCGTGGCGCCCCAACCGAGGAGGCGGTGGTGATTCGGGTGCTCGTTGCGACCCAACGTGGGGCCTCCGCGGGGCCGGCTGGGGGTCTGGGTCTCTCCCCGCCATGAGCTCGGCTGGTATTCCAGGAATGCCTGTCACCGAAAATAAATGTGTTCCAACGTGGAGGATTCTCAGGGAGTGTCTTATCAGCTCCCTACCAACGATTGAACCAGCTAGCAGCGGAGCAGAAAGGTCTAGGCCATCCCATTTTAAAAACTCCTTTTCCTCCAAAAATTTCGAAAAAATTACTTTTTTAGGGTGTCTAGTTTGTTTTTCATTTTGAGAAATCCTGATTTTTGACTGCTAAATCCTGATTTCATAATCTTTCCAAATCCTGATTTTTTGCGGAGAAAAATTAAAATTTCAGCATAAGCTCATGCGAAAGCAGAACTCCAGAATTTCGGCCTGCCGACTTTTTTCAAATTCTGATTGTACGACCGATTTTCCCTTAGATCCTGATAGAATGGGGTAAATCTTGATGCTTGGCACCCTGTTTTTTACGGCTCCGTACGTATACAGGGTTATTCAAAAGTCACGCACCACTGGCCATGAGGGGAATGGCTATTTGAA